CTGGGCAACACTCAGCAAGTGCCCCTCTCTGCTCATGGCAGGGCCTTTCCTTCAAGCTTCTAGATGCTAATAGCCCCAACTTCTCCCCTTTGTTCCTTTGGCCTTAGGGGTAGTAACTGCTGGGGGCAGTTACTAGCTCTGTGTTGCCGCTGTGTCTCCTTTTGCTGTTTCAGGTCTCTAACACCTGTTTGCCCAATTCCTCATACAAATTCGCTCTTAAAAATAACTGGTGTGGGGGTCAGCCCCATGGCATAATGGTTAAGTTCTGCGCAGCCTGCTTCAGCAGCCTGAGTTTGCGGGTTCAGATCCTGGGCGCAGACCTACACCATTCATCAGCCATGCTGTGGTGGCGTCCCACATATAAAGTGGAGGAGGATTGGCACAGATGTCAGCTCAGGGCTAATCTTCCTCAGCAAAACAATAAATAAAAAACAGTGTGACAATGACCTTGTCTCCTAACACAAATGCACATATATCCTATGACATAGCAATTGTACTCCTGGAATTCCACCCAAGAGAACCGAGTGCTTCTCTTCACCAAAAGGCATGTTTAAAAATGTTCCTAACAGGGGCTGGCCCCGTGGCCGAGTGGTTAAGTTTGCGCGCTCCGCTGCAGGCGGCCCAGTGTTTCGTTGGTTCGAATCCTGGGCGCGGACATGGCACTACTCATCAGACCACGCTGAGGCGGCATCCCACATGCCACAACTAGAAGGACCCACAACGAAGAATGTACAACTATGTACCGGGGGGCTTTGGGGAGAAAAAAAAGGAAAAAAAAATAAAATCTTTAAAAAAAAAAAAAAAAAATGTTCCTAACAGCATTATTCCTAAGAGCACCAAACGGAAAACAACCCAAATGCCCCTCAACAGGAGAGTGGATAAATAATTATGGCATATCCATAAGATGGAATACTACACAGCAATGAAAACAAACTCCTGCTCCATTTAACATTGGTCATAACACTGAGTGAAAGAAGCCAGACACAAAAGGGTCCATGCTGTGTGATTCCATTGACATGAAGTTCAAAACCAGGTAACGCTAATCTGTGGTGCCAGACATCAGAGGAGCACTTACCTTGAAGGGAGCTGTCAACTGGATTCTTTCTATCTTGTGATCTGGACATTTGAGATGTGTGTGCTCTACTGTGTGGAGGCTAAAATTCAGTAGAAAATTAAAATAACATGATTCAGTCTATGTTCCTGACTGAACCCTGAGTGGCTCAGAGAGATGCCAAGTGGCAGGCTAGAAATGCTCGGTAGGAATAGCCAAACCTAGCAGAGACCTGGGGATGAGAGAAGCTGTGTATTTGCAAAGCAACAGTGCAGAGAAATAAGACAGGCCGGTGAGGGCATTACCAAGAGCAGTATTCATTCAAGGGTCAGAGAAACCAATTCTATACAAGTCTCCCAGGCAACTAAAAACACAAGGAATTTAGACCCAGGTAAAACTGACGAGTTACTGAAACAAGAAATAGGGAAAATCTCCTAAGCTAGTTCTCTTATAAGGAACTATATATATTTACATATTTTGTCAATATAAATTATGTACTTCTTTATATTGGGTAGGTTAAAAATATCTGAAAAGAATTTAAATTATATGTGTATTATGAAAACCCATTGGATGCCACTAACACCATGCTATATTGTTTCCTTTGTCCCCATACCTAGCCTAGGAGGTGGGTGTTGCTAACCCCCTTTTACAGAGAGCACGCTGAGGTTCCAAGACAGAAAGGCTCACGTTGAAAGCCACACCGTAAGCGGTAGAAATGGGTTCTAACTTGGGTCCATCCAACTCCAGAGGAGCTTCGACAGAACCAGTTACAACCGAGACGGGAGAAGCTGAGCACTGAAACAAACTCCAGTTTTAAAAAATCGGCCAAGAAATAAGATGAGAGTCTTGGACGAGATAGCCTCATATAATAAGTTGTTTCTGTTTCAAATTTTCCTGTGATCATTCTGTACACATATGTATACACACATGTGGTGATTTTATATACATGTTACAGATGGCAATCACTCTTCTACAGCTGTTATGTCTACTGAGTAAATACTGTCTTGTGTAACCCATGATTTTTCTAAATGGAAAGACCTACACTTCAAGATGGTTGAAATTAAGAGGCAAGTTTTATGTTTAAAGTCAATCTTAAGGCTGCCATCATAAACTTTTTACCCCTTTTATCATCTCTCATTTAAAAGTTTTTTTAAGAAGCATTAATTTTGAATTCCTTGCTCTTGATTTGAGTTTAGGTCCTTCAATTTGGGGTATAAATGTAGAAGGCATTCTGAAGATTTCACTGTGAAAAGCGGAATGACCCTCACAACCAACTGCCCACATAAAACTTGGTAATTTTATTACAAAGCGATTCTGTCATGGTGCTGTGGGGTTACAGCTAATAGTCAAAAATAGCTAACATCTTAGACAGGTGGAACTGCTTTTCTAGGGTTTAATTCTTCCATTTTTCAGTGATAAATGATTCTATGCAGAAGAACAGAGGGTAGAGGCCTGCAATGGAAATCAACACACTCACACACATAGACCTGCTGTAATTTTCAGGGAAACAGTTGGTAATTTCTAATTCTTTGTCATCTTTCACTTACCCGACCCCTGAAAGGCACTTGAATCACAATAACATTTCATGTTTTCAATTAAAAAATTTTTTCAGAAGGCAAAGAAATTTCTACGTAAGTATTTTGGAATGAATGGGCTGAATGAAAATAGCTGATCTCCGGTTCTGAAAAAAAAAAAAGGGAGAGAGAAAGAGGGAGCCGGTGGCAGGATGGAGATGTCCTCCGGGCTCCACATCTAAGCAAGGAGAAGAAAAGGCGGATTAAGGTTGAGTGATGAGGACTGGTCTTCTCATTTGTATGCATGATTTATTCCTCCTTGCAATATTTAGGCTGCTCCTTGTAAAAACGCAAAAAGTTGAGCACAAAGGGCATGCCTGCCCCAGTGGCCAGGTCCAGACCCACTCCCAGCTCCCAGGCTCCGCTCTGGGCAGGCCCCAGGAGTCCACACACCCCCCAGGCTTTTTAAAGCTACTGCCACCACCCACTCTGTGCTTCAAGGTTCCTCCACTCGAGTTTGCTCCCCCGGACGCTTTGGTTTTTTTCTCCTGCTCAAAAAGCAAGGGAAATAAGCAAAATGGGGAAGTGATCACATTTTTTAAAATCCTAGAAAGTTCACTTAGCCATGAGTGCTGATATATCTACTTAGCGGTCACACAGCAAGTCCAGTATGGTAGGCAGATGGCTGGGGTGCTTGTTCTCCATCCTAACGACTGACAGGGTCCTTGGAGAATCTGGGGAGAATCTCATTTCCGACTGAGAGTCTGCCTGTTGGAACCCTCTCCCCAGATTCCAAGGAGCTCCCCATGCTCATAGCGTGAGTGGAGGTCTGCACTGGACAGTGCAGTAAAATACGGACTACGTATTTTCATGCTGCAATTCTGACTGACTGGAGGAAGAGCAGGCTAAATTAACGAGACATCTCAATTCCAGAGGCCATTAAAAAGAAACATTCCTTTTAGGCATTTAGGAAGCTCAAGCAACTAAAAGCAAGTGTGTGTTCATTAATTTAATTGCTTCAATGAATCACTGAGGATATGTGTTGTCAAGAGCCGTAAATTATAAGCAAAAGATCACTGTGAATTTGCAGGAAACAGAGACAAAGACTCTGAGATAAAGGGGACTAAATGTGAGAGCTCTGACTAGGTTGGGGCCAAAGCGAGACGAGAACGTAGTGTTCCACCAAACTCCTTCCGATCACAACTTTTAGCCCAATTTAAACTTCTCTCCCGTGTCCGGTCCACTTGTATCTGCCCTGACTCTCCCCGGCAGCTTCGTTCTAACGAAGGAAATGCTTCTGAAGGGAACCTAAATCCCAATTTGGTTAAAAACAAAACATGGAGAAAACGTCAGCCACAGAATTCAGAAAGTAAAACTGTGCAATCTGGAAAAGATGAGCTCAAAGTAAATTTAATGGACTAGTTCATTCATCGAGCCTCTGAGAACATAAACCAGAAATGGAAGGCTAGCTTTAAGGTGAGTATTGCGGAGCAAACATGCTAAACCAAACCGCATTTGCCCTAACGGTCTTCTCTCCGTTTTGGATGTTGATATTATTGTTAAATTTTAACTTTTCCAGCAGCAGCCGCAATGATAGGAGTTGCTTAGTTTCCGGCTCTTAAATGGAGACAAAGAGCCAGTTGATTTCTTCTTCCTTGCACTCAAGGGGCCTGACTTTATTTCCTACACACAGGGATACAGAATTCTCCTGGAACCATCATGAACCAACCCTTGAGGTTTAGATATAGAAGAAAATGTGCAGCAGCAAACTATTTTTTCTATCTGTAAGCCCCCCTTTTTTTCCCAACAGACTTAGGTATTTCACTGTATAGGTTCTGATTTCACAACAGTAAGACAGGTATACTTAAGACAGGTATTTGAACTTTTTTACTTTTTCAGCTAAATTTCTCCAGTTTTTACCAAAATTGAAACAGCCCTGCTCGTTTGTTGGTGTATCTTCGACGGCTGCTTCTGTGATGCGACAGCAGCACTGAGTAGTTGATAGAGACCACATGGCCTGCAAAGCCTAAAATATTTGCTCCGTGGCTCTTAACCAAAAAAAAAGTTTGCCAATCCCTAGGCTGGGTGATCTTTAAGGTCCCTTTCACCTCCACATTTCCAGGAATTTTTCTTCCTTAGATAAGCCGAATCTTCCATCAAAGGCAATGCACGGAACACACATTCACTGATAATAATCTCCAAAAAACTGTTTGTTTTGTGTTGTCAACATTTCCTATGGAACAATGTAAAGTAATACTGTCTGACTCACAGAACACGCACACTAAGTTCCCAGATATTAATTACTTTTAAAGGCAAGCTCTGGGTTCTAGAAAGCGGTATTTTAAATTTTTCGCAATTTTATTCTATTGACAAGTTTAACAGACCATCTGAAAAATTACCAAGCAGAATGAAAATGAAAAAACCCAACTCCCCTAGGAATTTATACATAAAATATTTATTAATAAGTAAAATCATTTTCCCCTGCCTTTGGTTATTAAAAAATTTTGATTTGAGTATCTTTGTTGAGACCAATTGCTAACAATGATTTTACAGTATTCAGCCATGAGACAGAGAGAGAGATAAATAGGGTAGCTCGACAGGTGATAGACAGATGGATGATAAACTATAGATAAAGATATAAATGTGTTAAAGACCATATCTTACAATGGTTTAATTACAAATCTTGGTTTTGCTAGAAGTTGGAAATCCATTTGCACATAACCTCATTTCTTATAAGTAAACAATATACAAATAAATTCACTTGAATTTCCTAATTCAGAACATTGGTAATGAATATAGCACTTGTTGAGAACTAAGAGAGGAAAACAAGAACCAGTTTTGTGGGGGAAGAAAGGCAATATCTCTTTCAAAAGCTTTTCTCTTGACTTAACAGTCCTTAGTGCCTGAAAAATACGCCATTTTGATAACGAGATTTGCAAAGTAAATCATATTGGTGGTTTAAATTTCATCCTAAATCTTAGATTATGGCTTAGAAGCTATACTAAGTATCTTTGTAAAGGATTTCTTTGAGGTTTTGTAGGGGAAACAAGAAAACGTTTGAGCAGATCTGGGCAGAAATGCTGATCTTCCTTTATGACAATTACCTGCACTCGGTACTACACAAAAATGGGGATCTGACGACCAAAGGGGACGAGATGCCAAGCCGGACCACACGGTAAAATTAAAAGTAACTTGGAGAAAGCAGGTGATAGTTTATGATTTCAATATAAAAAACATGTAATTACTTCTCAGATGTCACTGTGAAGTCAGAAAATTAGATGATCCCACCAAGAAGGGGATGAATGGTTTTATTATCACACCACCCACTACTTCAAGATGAAATAATCCCCGAGTTCTGAAATGTCATTGCTTAAGCAACTAGACAATTTCCTCCAGCCTCTTTTTAATGTAGAAAATCACTTTGTAATAAGACCTCTACACAGGGTAAAAAAGCACGAAATAGACTCAAAAAATCACAAAGTAGACAAAATATATATATCTTTTTACAATGAAACTAAGATGCGCCTGTGAAACACTGAGATCAATGACTAATCTCAGACTTCAAGCTGGATTTCCTTTTATAATAATTGTGTTCTTTATGTCTTCCCCTAAACCTTGAATGCTTATTAAAAAACTTACCCAGGTAAAAAGGAGAGAACAGGTATTCTGATCCGGTACCGTAAACAACAAAAAAGAAATAATAATAATAACGATATAATAAAAACCCTTAATCTACCTGTTTACAAAATTCTTTTGACAGCCATACCTCAAGGGCACTTAAGGGCTCAAGCATTTGTCACACAACCGTCAGCAACAACACAGCCATCTCCAGGTGATGCTTTTTTCCATCATAAATCAATCATGCACTGGGATGAAACATATCCAGAAATGCTAATTCAGAGAGAGACATTTTCATACAGTTAGGGAGCAAATAAAACCATCCAAAAGAACCGTGCCATAAACACCACCAACATGTGAAGACTTCCACTTGAGAATCCTTCCAAAGGCCACGGCCTCCCTGTCTTCCTCCGTCTCGTAAAGGAACCCACCGGCACCTTGTGTTACACGGTCACAGCCGGGTACATCTTCTGTTCACTGTTAGTGTGGGGGAAGGGGGCCTGGATTTGCCTGTAGCCCGTCTGCAGGCCGTCCATGAAAGGCGGCACAGGCGTCATGGGCACTGAGTCATGCTGCACTGTGTACCCCACATATGGGGGATGCAGGTACTGCCCTTGATGGGGCACAATTTGGGTGGCCTGCTGACAGTTCAGCACAGAGAAATTCGTGGGCATGTTGACATATACGTTGTTCATGGTGCCCTCGGGCAAGCAACAGTTGGTCTGTGACCTTGTTGGGGGCGCCCGGGCCCCAGAGTTGGCACTGGAGCTGGAGCTGGCCGCTGTGCTGGACTGACGGGAGGACGACCCTCGGGAGGTGCTGGCGCTGGGGATCATGGGGATGGTCTCCATCAGGCGGTTCCCTCCCGGGGCCCGGCTCTGCTGGGGCTCCTGCTTAGGCCGGAGACATCTGCAGCAACAGGCCGCCACGAGGGATCCCAAGATGATGAAGGCGACAAACACGGACCCAACGATGAGGAACGGCACGTAGATGGGGACTGAAGGATGAAAACAGAACATTATGGTTGACTGTGAGAATGCAGTAAAAATCGGTGATTGGCAGCGGAGACGCATAACTGAGCAACACTGATCCCAAGAATTGAAAGACCTAGGCCAAGCGGGTTTGCATGCTAACTAGCAGCCCATGAGATGCACTGTCCTTTATCAAGAGCTCAGGAAAGGCAGTAGGGTACCACAGGCATGATGGAGCAGTCCCCCCAAAGCAAAACTGTTCATACTTACAGCTACACTCACCAGCTGCAACACTGATTGAGGCAAATATCCAATTTAGCAAAAATATCAGTTTAATGTTTTAAGACTGTTCTAAAATTCCTACAATAACTGAACTGCCCAAACTTAAGTCTGCCCCAACAGATAGTTGTAGGATCTGCATAGAATTCAGTTTTAATTATTTAAACGACTTTTTTCCCCAGAAAGTTGTTAATATTTCTTGCAAACTTCTTTTACCATTTTTTAGCAAATTCTCTTTTCATAGGCAAATAAATAAAAAACTTAGGTCAGACTCTAGCCACGACCATTTCCAAAAACAGTCTGTAAGACACAGACATCCAAGAAGGGTGAAAAAAACCCCACCCAACCTTGTCTGGCTGAAGGCTGGGCCTGTGGTGGTGGGCCTAGCATGTGCCACTGGATGGCGGGACATGAAGTGACTCTTGCGGAGGGAAGTTATTCCAGGCAGCAGATCAGGATGAAACAACACACCAAGGAGAACAAATGTTGGGAGCAAAAAGACATCTGTTCCAGGAAGAGCACCCACAGTGAGCCAAGGAGGCACCCAGGAAAGACCAGGGTGGCTGAGATGGTGCAGTTATGCCCGGAGTTATGACACAGGATTCTGCGTGAAGACCTACGCAGAAAGCCTGCAGAGCACAAAGCAACGGGCATCACATTTAACAAGTGTGGTTTACCCTGAAAAATAAAAACTTTACTGAAATTAGTAGTGAGCTCCATTTTAAAATTATTTTACATAAACCTTTTGGGAGCCATGGGGCTAGCACTACAGGGCTTTCAGAAGCTACACACACCGGCCGATGGGGGCAGAGAATCAGGAGGGAGGCCCTGCAGAATGCCTGGAACCACCTCTGTGAAATTTCACCCTGTGTTACCAAGAACCTACGTTTTTTGCTATGTTCCTGCCGATCTTCTTGACTACGTGATTGGAAAACATGAGGACAGGGACCAGGTTTTGCTGGTCCCGGCAAAGCACAGCGCCAGCGCAGGGGTGCGGGGCAGCGCTTCCGGGAGGAGCTCAGTCCTCCCACACCTCGGATCGGACGCACGAAACACCCTCGGTCTGTCCGCTGGGTCAGCCGCCTTTCGGATCACGCTTCTTTTGACGGCTCTGGGACTCCTGGAGTCAGGAGCATCAGAATACAGTGCCACATGGAGTCACGGAGAAATAACGTCTCATAAGTAAGACGAACATTGTAAGTATTTAAGCAAAGGCTGACATCTGAAGGTTTCCGGAGCCGTTCAGGGGGAACAGAGTAAATCCCAGATTGACTCGGCGCGCTCGCTGCGCAGGCTGCGCACAGCTGGCTCTGCCAGCCGGTGGTCTCATCGCGCGCCCTCCTCAGGCCAATGCCGGCGGAGGGGAGCAGACGACTCTGGGCTTTCCCTTACGCATGCTATAAATATTTCATTCTAGAAATGAGCATGGCAGCCCCGACTATGTTATCGATAAGTAACAAATGATGGTAAAAAAGTACTCCAAACGCTACAGCAGAAACTAGCTGAAAGGAGGCTGAGTCCACAGAATGAGTTCTCGGGAGGAAGGAGTATTCTGCCCCCAGGATTTTTAACTGGAGGCGTGAACAACGGCACAGGGTACAGGAGGCAGCGCTCGGCCAAGCCCCGGCAGTGCCCAGCGGTAACCGCAGAAGAGCAGGGAGAGGAACAGAACTTTTAGGAAAAGAGATTTAAAAGCAGAGTGAAGAAGGCATCCATGCAGTTCACACGGCGTCACGAGAAGTCAGCTGCCTACTGATCTGCCCAAAGTCAACGCAACTTTTTAGACCATTCAGGCACCCAGCTCCGCAGACGCATCAAGATAGCAATTCTGCCTCGGGCTCACTTCTCACGGCTTTACTGACAGCCACACACCCTGCAAGGCTGAGCTCGCATTTTAGGAAGGCCCCTTTTCTGGAATTACCCGGTCTTCCTCTCTCAGATTCAAGGCAGTGGAACAATGGGAGGAGCCTGGCTAATAAAATGCCTGACTGCAAAGGGGAGGTCACTGAGAGGAGCTGCCCCTACCAGGGCCCGGGGACAGCGCCGCCAACACAGACGCCACCCAGCGCCAACGCTCAGGCAGACCAAACTCCGGGCTCAGGGTGCTGGTAAAGTCCTCTCCCTGACATAAGCAGTCACAGAAAAGAGAGGAGATGCCCCCTCTGTGACATGTTTGCCCTTTGACCTCTACCCCTAAAAGTGAACTAAATCTTCCCTCCCAAACACACACACATTGGTGTAGGGCCTCGAGGCAGCCAGTCTGGGAGGTACGTGCAGAGGGGAGGAAGTGGAACCTATCAAATTCCTCTCCGGATTTGTTTATTTTTCTAACTCTAGCGATGGCAATTTGAAAAAATAAAAAAGGTAATTAAAAAACATTAAAGCCACAAAAAGCAAGGTTGGGCACCGCTATGATATCACACCAACCAAGTCTGACGTAGTAAGAACTGTCCAGAAACCAGAGTGGCCCCGGACGCGGCAGGGGACAGTGCAGCCACGCGTACGGGAGCATAAGAATGCCCGGTGGTCCCGTAAAGCGCCTCACCCAGGACAAAGTCCTGAGGAGCTGCCTTCCTTCTGAGGAGCCTTCAGGCAGAAACCCTGCCAGCCCCCTTGTGATGGAGCGCCCCACCGTTTCCTTGGTGCTCCCAAGACAGTAACCTTACTAGAAGTTAGACCTATGGAGACAGGAGACCTGGGAGGGGGCAGAGGCCCCTGGAGAAGAGGAATGTGGGGCTGTCTGCGACCCACACTAGCTTAGACGTGTGGAGAATCCAAGCCTAGAGAATCCTCGGAAAATCCATGCCAAGTCACTCTTTAGCTGACAGATGGGGAAACTGAGGCCCAGGGCAGTAAATTGGTGTCCCACCTCGCACAACCACCTCCTGGTCCCAGATCCTTTTCTGAAATGTCAGTGCTCCTAATTCCCTTCCCATCTCCAAGCTCCCAGGTCCGTGCAAAGCCAACCCTCCTGCCCCTTTCGCGCTCGACCTGGCCCACCCTACCTGCCGAGCCGTCGGGGCTGTCTTTGTCCGCTCGGCCAGGCTCGCCGGCGCCCTGCTGGCGGTCGTTGTCGCAGCCGCCCTGGTCCAGGCGCGCCTCGGCGCTGGAGCAGCAGTAGCGCAACGCGCAGCTGCCGCAGCAGATGGTGGCGTCGCCGCCGTCGAAGCGCTCGGGGCACTGGAAGCCGATGCGCCAGACGCCCTGCGCGTCCAGCCAGCCGTGGCAGTACTCGCCGCTGGCCCGCGCCCCCGCCGCCAGCAGCGCGGCCAGCAGCAGCTGCAGGAGGGAAGCGGCGTTCCGAGGGGAGGCGGCGGGCGAGCGGCGTCCGCCCCACATGGCACCACCCTGGGCGCGGGCGGCGCGTCTCAGAGGGCGCAGCGCGATTCCCGGGAAGCAGGGGCCCGGGCGACCCTGGTCTCAGCGGGGCGGAGGCAGGGACCTCTTCGCTGAGTGTCCCTTCCGCGGCGCTCTCCGCGCGGGCCTCTGCCCTCTGCCACGACGTCTGGGAGCCGACGACGCCGGGCTGCGGGGTCGGGGGCTCCTAAGCCATCCCCTCCCTCAGCCGGGTGGCCCGGTCCCGGTAGGGGCTGTCTTGAGAGTGGGCACTCGCTGATGGAACTCTCTGGGCGCAGAGTCAAAGGGCCCCCGAGGCTGCCGTCCTACAGCCCCTGGAGGCTTCACCCGCGACAAGACCCTCCCGGTGCATCCCCGAGGGGACGCTCACTCCAGTCGGAAGGCGGCTGGGCACGTCGCTGTGCACCCGGAGCCAGGTGGCTGCCGCAGAGTTTAAGCCTCGGGGTCCCGCACACGAGTCGGGGCGCGTCTCCTCTCCTTTATTCCCCTCTCGGGCGGCGAGAAGGGGCCACGAAGGCGGGCAGCAGGCGCAGGGCTCCAGGCAGCAAGTGCAGCGGCCGGCCGCGCTCAGCCTTCTCAGCTCCGAAGTCGGTCCGCATGGCTCCGGCCGCGCCGCCGGGGCAGGCGTCCCAGGTGCAGCCCCAGCGCTCCCCTCCGCGGGACCGACGGGCAGTGCTCCCAGCGCACGCTGCCGGCCAGGACGCGCGCGAGGGTCCGGCGCTCCCCGCCGCAGTCCCGGGAGCCTGCCCGGCTGGCGGCGGCCGCGGCTGCTGCTGGGCGCGGGTCCAGGTGGGCGGCTCGCCCCCGGCTCCCCTCCTCCGCCTCTCCGGCTGCAGCTGGCTCCCACGGGCACCGGGCAGCCTCGGCCGGCTCTCCGTCTCCCCTGGCCGCTGCGCCGTCGGGAGGTGCGCCCCGAAGGGAGCCTCCCACGTGAGTTTCAGTCCTCCGGGCTACTGAAGACGCCGAGCGCCGCAGCCGCCCGCACCCCTCTGCGCCCGGCCCCCGGCCAGCTCCGACTCGGCGGGGCGCGGCGCTGCGCGGCGCTCTTATTAGAGGCCGGCGGCTCCTCGGGCGCGCATGCGCGCTGCGCGGGCTTCCCTCCGCCCCTGGAAGCCCCAGGACGCCGCCAGCCCTTCACCTTCCGACTGCGGCGGGGAAGAACCCGCGTGGCTGCGGGCCGTGGGCTGCCGGCTGGAGCGGGCGGGGGAGAAAACAGAACCTAAAGAATCTAGGCCTTGCTAACACAATGACAACAATCATGATCATAAAAGCAAACGAAACTTGCTTATTGAAGATCTTTAGCATTCAAAATTCTGTTTGATTCTCAAAACTTCCCAAAAAAGGATTATAATTACTTTCCATTTTACAGACCAGGAAGTTGCCGCTCAGATTAACTGTCTCTCTCGGTTTTCAGCATCTGCTGTCCTGGCCACCGCTGGGCACTGGCCCAGCCGAGAAAGAACTCGGCTGTTTGTGGCAGGGTTCGCGCGCCTGGGGCTGCGTCTTGGGGGCTCCAGGATTCTACAGTGTGGAATGAAGAGAGTTCGGCAAAGACCACAGGTCTGGCCACTGTCTGGGTGAACTGTGTCGCTTTTTTTCTTTCTATATTTGGGCGTGGCGATTTATTGGATTCAAGCAGAAAGGTGCCGCCGTTCACCATTTGGCCTTAGTGGTGTAGACAGCTGCAGTCAGGAAGAAAACAAGGTTCAGACAGACCAGAAACTCGGCTTTGATGAAGGAGAAATTAATAGCCTCTCTCTTGCGGAAGCTGGAGCAACAGGTGCTGATGCTATTAAAGCAGCAGTGATTATTTTTCAAGGGACTGCTGACCCTTCCAATAGGGTCTGGGAGTCAGCTGACCTGAATTCTAGGCCCAGCCCTGCCAGTAAAGAATCATTGCGTTTTGTTGGCCTCCGTTGCTTCATTTTTAAAGCGGAGCATAGGATGGATGGCCACTAAGGTCCCTTCCAAGTCCACGACTATAGAACACAAGGCGATTTTCTTCACAGCGAAGACGTGCTGTTCAGGCACTCACTGGGCACTTGGGTATGCCTGGTAAATGGACGGACTCCGACCCTGTGGATATCCTTCCACTCACCCCCACAAAGTCAGGTGAAAGGGAAAAACCCACCCTCCTCCCTGGCAACGAGTCCTTCTTCTCACTAAACCTCTCTCAAGCATTGCACTTCGTTTCAGTGCTATTTTGTTGTAATTTTTAGTGACATAAAATTACGTATTTTAAATGCACCAGTCACCCACTTTTCTTAACCTGTGAACAAAATTTCAATATCGAATTATTAATTCAACGAATACATGCTAAGGACTTACAGTATGCTGTGCTCTGCGTTCGGGACTGGGGATTCACCAAGAAGCCAGACATGGCCATTTCCTTCCAACAGAGCTGAAAGTCCCAGGGGTAAAACAGAAATCAGACAGGAAGACAAAGACTTGAATAAGCAAGGATAATACAAGTGTGCTGAAAGCTATGGCCGGTGATGTTCAGGATCAACGACAGCACATAACCTGGGGATGGGGACTGGAGGGAGGGCAGACAAGTCCTCCGAGGAATGACACTCAAAACTAGACCAGAATACGCTAGGGAAGACTCAGTTTTTCAGACTGAGTCTTTTTCTTAGAAAATACTATTAGCATTTTATTACTACTATTATTATTTAGGGCTTAATCTGTGCCAGGCACTGTGCTAAGAGTTTTACATGCATGGTCTCATTTAATCCTCACAGCAACCCTGTGAAGAAGACAGAATTACTATCCTTATTTTACTGGTGAGGATAGCTTGCCCAGTGCACACAGATAGAAAGTGTCAGTTTGCCTGGACTGCACCCAATTCTAGCGACTCCAAGGCCCGCCCGCCATGCTGCTAGTTAGCAGTCTCCACAAGGGTAAGCGCAGGATTAACTGTGAGCTCTGTGCCAGTCACCAGATGGTTAGGTATCATTATTTTCCTATGGCACCAAAAATTGATTTGGGTGGTGGTCAGAGGGTTAACACTTTACTTTTTCTCCTTTGGAAAAAAAATTAATGCAAGAGAATTATGCACTTCTTCAGACAGTACCTGTGCCATACCCTCCTCCCACTATCCATTTATCCTCTTCTCCAGAACACCCACAGTTTATCAGAGTTAATTTATGGAGAAAGAAATGTTGAACATCTTCATACTGGAATTGACTTAGTGCCACAATTTAAACACAATAAGTTTTTCCTCAATAGTTCACAATTTAGTCCACGGCTGGCGAACCTGGAAGTGCAGAGCTTTGAGGAAACGTGGCCTCTTTCTTATTGTTGTCTTGCTTTATTCCATGAGAGTTACGGAGAGGCCTGTTCTCTTGTTCCTTCACGTGGTGTTGATTGTCTTCAAGGCTCAGAGACCCTTTATATCACTCTGTTCCTCCCTCTGACTTGCTTTTACTTCTTATTTGTGTATCTAGTATGTTGTACTGAAATTTTATAAAATAAGTTAAATACTTATTGAGCTTCTCTATGGAGGGGCTACTGGGAGATAGTAAGATGGTCTATTCCTTCCATAAGAAATAAAAAGACGTTCCCTCTCCATCTTTAACAAACAGCCTAAACTATTTTACTATTCTCTTTTGAGAAAGTGTAACTAGTAATCATAACACATAGGTAGTAGTAATAATAATTTATTATAATCAAAACTAAATGTCAGGCAGTCTGCCAAAATATATTTAAACACATATGAAAGAGTACTCTCTTCCCTTTTAAAAAGTTGAATTCTATAGACATTCACTGCAGGAGTATATTTTCAGGTTATTTCGCCTTTCAGTCTGTGCCTGTATATGTGAATAAAATACAGTTGATTTAAAAACAAACTTCTGACATATCTTCAATTGTACAAGTAGAAAGTCATAGAACTAAAGAAATGATTACTTACAACGTTGCTAACTGGAGTTGATACAAATCATATGGAGGTCGTCATATTTCATTTGGCTGGCAGTTCTAAAAGCTGTAAGATCTACAGTGTTTTTCTGCAAGTTTCAGCAAGAGCAGAAGGTTCTCACCATGTGTACAGCAGTCAGCAGTCTGTTAGGAAGAACGGCTTTCATTATGTTCATTCATTTTTTTCCTCCTCTTTTATAAATAGGAGTAGTATTGAAAATTCACATTTGGTTTACCAGAAGTTCTTTTAAGCTAAAGTGTTTGTGTTAAGAAATGAGACCTCAAACTCAAACAAACATGTTAATTTACATTCCTTTTAATTTTGTTTTGTGGTTACCTAACCTCATCTGAAAATAAAAATGGTCATAAAATTTTGAAAAACATCTTTCTTGTTGCTTTAAAATTTTTCATCTTTCATCCTCCTATTTTTTCCTTGTAATTAACATACTGACTTTATATACTGTGTACAGTATCCTAATATACTAATATATTTTCAGAAAAGTAATTTGTATATTTTAAATTCTTTTTCTTCTCATCCACCATTAACTTTAAACATTTGACATACTTCTCTCCCCCCCCGACTCCAGCCTCACCCCTAACCAATCCCAGAGTTTTACTGAACCATTTTTACGTTGATTTTGATGTTCACTATTGTTATATTTTCTTTTGGAGACATACAGTTAAAAAACATCCAAGACTTCTCCAAATAATGCAGGAAAGAGTAGCATAAACAAAATCAACATGACATTAAAAAGTCTACAGAAAATGTTTGCAAATCATATACCTGATAAAAGTCTAGTATCTAGAGCATATATACAACTCGACAACAAAAAGGCAAACAACTCAATTCAGAAACAGGCAAAGGACTTGAACAGACATTTCTCCAAAGAAGAAACACAATAACCAACATGCACATGAAAAGATACTCAACATCACTGGTTATTAGGGAAATGGAAATTGAAATCACAATGAGATACCACTCCACACCTACTAGGATGGCAATAATAATAACAACCAGAAAATAATGTGTTGGGGAAGATGTAGGGAAATTGGAACCCTTGCACATTGCTAGTGGGAATGTGACATGGTTCAACTGCTGTGCAAAACAGTTTGACAGTTCCTCTAAAAGTTAAAAGTAGAATTACCATATGACCCTGAAATTCCACTCTTGGGTATATATACCCCAAAGAGTTGAAAACATATATCCATACAAAAATTTGTACACAAATGTTCATAGCAGCACTATTCATAATAGCCAAAAAGTGGAAACAACTCAATGTCCAGCAACTGATGAACAGATAAACAAAATGTAGTGTAGCCTTACAAATGGAGTATCACTTGGCCACAAGAAGGAATGAAGTAGTGCGAATGTGTGCTACAACATGGATGAATCCTGAGAACATTGTGCTAAGTGAAAGAAACAAGACACAAAAGGCAAATATTATATGATTCCGTTTATATGAAATGACCAGAACAGGCATATTCATGGAGGCAGAAAGTAGATCAGGGTTGCCTGGGGCTGGCAGGAGGAAAGAAGGGGAACTGATTGCTTAATGTGCACAGGCTTTCCTTCTGGGTTGAAAATGCTGTGGAACCAGATAATGGTAAGAGTTGCACAACACTGTGA